AGAGGAAGAAGAAGAAGAAGGAGAAGAAGAAGAAGAAGAAGAAGAAGAAGAAGAAGAAGAAGAAGAAGAAGAAGAAGAAGAAGAAGAAGAAGAAGAAGAGAGAGAAACAAAGAAGAGCCCTAAATTGGGAGGGAGTCTGGGAGGGCTTCCTGGAGGAGGTAACTGTCAGGCAGGCGCTTGAAACAAGATGACTAACAAAACCAATCCCAGGAACATCACAGGCCTTCTAGACCTACCAGGTCTTGGACACAAATTTGCTACCTATGTTCCCAGTAGCATGGCCGACAGCTAACACCCAGTGTACATCTACTGTATGCCAGATGTTGCTTATGAGGATCAATTTTCTTTTTAATTTTTCAGTGCTGGCAATGAAACCCCAGTTCTTGTGCATGCTCTACCCCTTGGACCACTTCCTCAGCTCTCTATTTTGTATTTTGTTGTTGAGAACTATCATTGCATTGTAGTGGGCCAGGTAGGGGGGGATGAGTAGAGACTCAAATGAACATTCTGCCTGCCCTACTGTACCCCCAACACTGCACCCCCCCCAATTTGGGCTTGAATTCAGGGCCTGGGCACTGTCCATGAGCTCTTTTGCCGGTCAAGGAGACCACTCTACCATTTTGAACCACAACACTACTCCCAGTTTTCTGGTGGTAAATTGTTAATGAGTCTCACAGACTTTCCTGCTTACACTGGGTTAGAACCACGATCCTCAGATCTCAGCCTCCTGGGTAGCTAGAATTACAGGACTGAGCCACCAGTGCTCATCTGAGTTCTAGACCTTGGGAAGAGTATGGGGAGCGGTGAGTGAATGCAGAGGTGAGCAGCGCGTGAGGCTGAGACCCCAGAAAGGAGCCACAAGGAAATAGCCTAAATGGGCCTTAGAGGGAGACCTCCAGGTCCCCAGACGGGCCCTCCCTCACACGGGAAGTGAGCCTTAGCATCCGGTAAGCACGACACGGGATGCCTGGAGGGACACCAGCCAGCAGTGCTTCGCACCCAGAATCGCCCCAGGTTCCTTCTCCAAGATCGCAGGCTGCACAGGTAGATCTCCTGCAGCATGGAGCAGCCCAGCCTGGCCTGTGCTCCGTCTGATGGCAGCCATGGTGGGAAGTCGGCAGCCTGGCGCGCTTCCGCCATGGCGCCCCAGCCCTAGGAGGAAGGCAGAGGGTCATCCTCAGGTCTTCACCCCTCCTCCCTCAGGCCCAGGGGTCCACACCCCAACTTCTTCCCTCAGAAGCAGGGGTCCAGACTCCAGCCTCCTCCTTCAAACTCAGGGGTCCTTGGCCCTAGTCCTCTTCCTTCAGACCCAGGGTCCACTCCCCAGCCTCCTCCCTCAGTCCAGGCATCCAGGCCTCAGCCTCCTCCCTCAGACCCAGGGTTCCACACCCAGCCCAATTCTCACACCCAGGAATCAGACAGGACCCCAGCCCCCTTCGGGAAGAAGGGGTCTGGGCCTAGCCTCTTTCCACCTCAAACCAGGACTTTTCGGGGTCAGCTCACCCTTCCCCTAAGTACCTGCCGGGTCTTTAGGGTCCTGGATGGAGACCCAAGGCTGGAGGAGAGACGTTACCCGGGAACCTCTGTGGAGGCAGAGGGAGGAAGCAGGAGGGTGGGCTCCCGTTAACCCTTTTAGCTCTTCGGTGGAGAACAAAGTAGGCGGATAGCGCCCCCTCCCCACACATGCTCAAGACTCCGGGGTGGGGGAAGGAAACTGGTCCCTGATCCCCAGGCAGGGGGGAGGTGATACTAGTTTAGAACCATTGAAACGGACACCTGCCGGACGTGGACACGCTCTCCACTTCATTTCCGGTTCCCATTCTCAAGCAGGGGCGTGAGGAGTCTATAAATTCATCGGTTCTGGGAGGAAGCCAGGGCCCCCTTCCCCGCTGGGGGGGGAAGGGGAGGGGGGGGAGGGCGAGAGCACCCTCCTGCGCATGCGCGCGGCCAGGGATGCTGAGCCTGAGAACCGAGCGATGGAGAAGCCCAACCCGGGGACCCCCGCCTCCAGCCCGGTCCCGTCGGCCCACTACTTTCACCGAGCCAGGAGTCTGCTGGTCGGATCCTGGGGACCCAGCCCAAATACACCCCCTCACCCTCACCCCCGATCTGAAGCTCAGTATTCCTTTTGCATATGTCCAATCCCTACGCGACTTCAACGCCACGTCCTGGCCAAGGGTCCTCCAGAGCCCGACTCACCTCCAGCATCGCTCGGCCTGCCCGGGAACCCGGGTTCCCGTTTTGTAGGAGCCTAGCCCGGTATTCCAGTCCCCGGTTCTGTCCCCGCCCCCTTCCTAGCTGGGCCTTCTAGCCCCGCCCCTCCCAATTCTTCTGCGTTCTATCCCCGCCCCCTCCGATCTCTTTGCATTCTATCCCCGCCCCCTCCGGTCCCTCTTCGTTCTGCTCCGGCCCCCAGGAAACAGCATCCAATCACCTTCCTCGGCCTGAGCTCTCCCCCTCTTCCTCCCCCCCCCCGCCCTGATTTGATTAGCCACCACGCATTCGCTGGTCGCCGCGTGTTGAGGATCCCAGCTCCGCCGTTGTTCAGCTCCAGTTCGCGTCCGCTGGGAGGGACCCAGGCCTGGCACGGGTCAGGCTTGTGGAACACTAGCCCGAAGCTGCTACCCGAGAGAGGGATGAGACCCCTGGGAGTCAGGGGGCTCCATCCAGACTCCCAGGGAAGGTACTTGCTCTGAATTGCTCCCAGGGGATGCTCCCGGGGATTGGATTTAAGCAACACAGCCAGAGATTTCCATGAACGAAAAGGAGCATGAAGGCGTAGAGAAGGGCCTATTTAACTTGGCTCAGATAGAATAGGTGCAGAAAGGCAGAGGCAGAACTATCTTATTTAGCTCTGGACGTTGCCGTTCTCGTCCAGGCTTGGGCAGGTGGCCCTGGGGTCCAGCCCAGTCAAGGCCTGGGAGGAGATGTATTAAGAAGCTAGTACTGGGCTGGAACAGTGTCTCAGTGGTAAAGTGCTTGCCTTGCATGCATGAGGCCCTGGGTTCAATTCCTCAGCACCACATAAGCAGAAAAAAAACAGGAGCGACACTGTGGCTCAAGTGGTAGAATGTTAGCCTTGAGATGAAGAGCTGAGGGACAGCACCCAGGCCGAGTTCAGGCCCCAAGACCAACAAAAAGCTAGTACTAGGCCCAGTACACAAATGGGCATACTGAGGCCAGGTGAGTAGTAGAGATGTGCTTCCTTGTTCCTGCCTGTAGCTATCCAGGTCCTGGGGCTTATGGCTGACCTTTGGGAGGGCTGCTCTGATTTCTCAAAGGCAGTGAGTTTGACATGTGTCTGGGGACACGTTGGGATGCCTGTTGCCAGGGCTGCCTGGATGGAGCATGGGAAATACTGGGTTTCAAGAGAACCCACCCCAGAAATGGAGCACAGGGGTGGGCACCTACCAGTGCTTAATGATCTCTACCCACTGTCAGGCACCAGGGGCTCACATCTATAATCCTAGCTCCTCAGGAGGCTAAGATCTGAAGATCCTGGTTCAAAGCCAGCCTGGGCAGCAAAGTGCATGATACTCATCACCAATAAACCACCAGAAAACCGGAAGTGGTGCTGTGGCTCAAGTGGTAGAGCCTTAGGCTGATGGGATGCAGCAACTCATCGCCCCCTCCCCCAAATCCTTGTGTGCTGGCAACCAGGGCCTGCCCCCACTCCCCAGGGAGAGAAATCAGAGGCCAAATGTGTAGATGCCACATGTCATGTCAGATGGGCAGGACTCAAACCTGGATCCCTGCTCCGTATCCTGTAGCATCACTAAGTGTGTGGGGCCTCATTGCAGCTTTATTTCCCCCTCCCCACCACCCAGCTGCACCTTAGTGTGTGCAGAGAGAACCCCAGCCCACGTTGTACCCAGGAAGCCATGCTGGGCCACAGCTGAGGATTTATTGGCGTAAATGCAACCATATAAAAACATAAGTTATGAAAAAACACAGTCACGATGTGCCCTCCCCATCCCCCCATCCCAGGCCCCTAAGATCCCCCTTCTGTGGGAGGGAGAGGAAAAGGGGACACCACCTAGGGTGCCCCCTCTCCCCCCGTGGACGCCCCTGGACCCCCGTGGGGTCCCTAGTGGGCAGGGCGGTGGAGAAGGTGGGCAGGTGGGTTCCGGCTCAGCGCATCCGGTAGTCCGTGGAGCAGGACAGCTCGCACAGCTGGCCCTTGAAATCCAGGTCGATGGTGAAGTCCAGGTCGCGCTGTGGGGAGAAGGCAGTGTGAAATGAAAAGGACGGTGCAGAGAGCCCAAAGGGCTAGGGCCAGATCTTCCCCATCTGCAGCAGATCTCGTCCTGCCATTTTTTTTCACATTCTTGCTATACATCGCAAGCTGACCTCAAACTTCTTTTTTTGACAGTCTTGGGGCTTGAACTTGAGGCCTGAGTGCTGGTCCTGAGCTTTTCCCCCCAAGGCTAGCATTCTGAGCCACAGCTCTGACTTCCCTGGCAATAAGAAGTCTCATCTGCCAGGTCTGGCTTCGAACTGGGATCCTCAGATCTGAGCCTCCTGAGGAGCTAGGATAACTGGCATGAGTCACCAGCATCCAGCTTTGGCCTCAATCTTTTGAGCTTCCTTTTTCAGAAAGAAAACGGGCTGCCAAACACATCCATGTCTAGAGGGCCCAACTGCGGCCCCCTCTCCATGATGGAGCAAGGCCTGTACTACAGTGGGTACTGGAGTTGCCCTGCCCGGCAGGGTGGCCCTAATTGGCTCAAGGACACCTTGCTCTGTGCTGGGTCACCTGGATGGTGTCCAGCCCAGGCCACTCCCCTCAGCTGTGGCTCCTGATCTCTGTCCTGTTGTATCAGCATCTCCTGGCCTCAGTGGGCCTCCCAGTGACAGCCTCCTCCGCTGCCCTGCAAGGAGTCCCAACAGAGGGCAATGCACACAAGCAGGTGCTCAGGAGGAAAAGGGAAAAACCAGAACAAAAAGCATCTCCGAGCTCAGCCACTTGAGCTGGGGGTGGCAAGCTGGACACCTGTCACATGACCATTGCTCCAGCTACATGGAAGTTACCACCTCTTGCCTTTGTCTCCCCCCCCGCCCCCCCAGCTTTGCCTTTGTTTTTCTTTGTCATGGGGTTTGAACTCTGGGCCTGGGCGCTGTCCCTGAGCTCCTCAGCACAAGGCGAGCACTCTATCACTTGAGAAACAGTGCCACTTCTGGTTTTCTGGTGATTTATTGGAGATAAAGTCTCATGGACTTTCCTTCCCCAGGCTGGCTTTGAATTGTGATCCTCAGACCTCAGCATCCTGAGTAGCTATGACAGGCGTGAGCCAAAGGTACCGGCTAGCTATGTGTTTTTTTGTTTTGTTTTTTGGTTGGTGATGGGGCTTGAACTCTGGGTCTGGGTGCTGTACCTCATATCAGCTCAACACGAGCACTCTGCCACATGAGCCACAGCACCACTTCTGGTTTTCTAGTGATTTATCAAGATAAGGCCTTTCATAGACTTTCCTGCCTGGGCTGGCTTTGAACCACGATCCTCAGATCTCAGCCTCCTGAGTAGTTAGGATTACAGGGGTGAGCCACCAGGACCCAGCTTGCTTTTTTTTTTTTTTTCAAGTCCCATCTCCCTTGCTGACAATGGGGTGTTCCTGACTTGGGTCTGAGGCTCCTGGGCTCCGCCCTCCCCAGCCCTGCTCCCCCAGCCTCACGTTGTTCTTGGCGTTGGGCCGCATTCCGATGGTGCCGAAGATCTCCTCGCCTGTCTTCACAGTCAGGTAATCCTCCATGTAAAAGACTGTCTGCTTCCAGTGCGTGTACGGGGACTCGGGGCCTGGGGACCAAGCAGGTCAGATGCCTGCCTGCCACCCCTGCCCACCCGAGAGCTGTGGCCTCTGCTGCATACCCACCCCCAATAGCAGGCTGTGTTCCCTGTCTGTGAATCAGGCTTGGGACCCAGGGATCGCTGGCTATGTGTCTGTGGGTGAGGAAACTGAGGCACGGCGCACCAAGGACCCAGCAGCAGCCTCATGCTCTAGGTGCATGGGCTGGGACATGGGTCACAGGTGCCCCCGTCTAAATCTCAGCCCCGGGAGTGCCCGCTGCCCGCAGCGGCCCTCACTGGTGGAGAAGCCGGTCCTCTTGTGGCAGCGGGTGAACTCAATGTTGAAGTAGGCCACCAGTGCATGCACATAGTCGTTGCGTTTCACTTGCAGGCAGAAAGGTGAGGTGAAGGTGAGGTCTTCCACCTTGACCGTGTAGATGTCCACCTCCTGTGGGAGGACAGGGCAGGGCCCCGAATGCTCAGAGCCCGCTGCTGGCTCCGCCCCTTCCCTGGCTCCGCCCCTTCCCGGGTCCCTGCCAGACTTTGCCTTTATCTAGCTGCCAAGGGGGCGGTGCCTGTGCCATTCCCCCTCCCCTTCCTTCCAGCATCCAGTGTGATGGCCCTTCCTTGCCACAGCCCGGTGTGCCATCCCTGAGCTTTTCCACTCAAGGCTGGTGCTCTACTATTTGAACCACAGCTCCATTTCTGGGTTTCTGGTGTTTACTTGGGGGTAAGAGTCTCCTGGACTTTCCTGCCCAGCCTGAGTATAAACTGTGACTATCAAATAAATCTCAGCCGCCAGAGAAGCTGGGATTACAGGCATGAGCCACTGGAGCCTAGCAGGGGTGCTTTCCTTAACCCTTACCTTTCCTCCTTCCTCCTTTCCCCAGGGATGGGATTACAGGCATACCCCCTCCATACTCTTCTCCCAGCCCCATTTTATCCTCAGATAGCAACTACCAGATTAAGTCAAACCCTCCCTAAAACCCTGTGGCCCTGGTGTTCTTAGGCTGACTGCCAAAGGGCCCTTCTTTGCTGCTGGCCCCGAGGTCGATCCGCCATGCTGTTACCTTTATGAGGCAGGCATTGGTGACCAGCTGCTTAGGGTCCACGACGTCTACCAGGGGCTCCTTGATGGCCACATCTTTGATGCAGGACATGTCGAAGCCATACACGTTCTCCCACCCTAGGGGAAGGCGGGTGGGTGAGCCCAGCCCTCCGCGCCCCCCCTGCACCCCGCCCCCAGCAGCCCTGCACTCACAGTGGATTTTGTAGTCTTTGTACTGCCGGTCCTCAATGGCCGTCACATACAGGGTGGCCCGGTCTGGGAAGATGAGACCATCAGGCGCCTGCAGAGAGGTTGGGTGAGGTATGAGGGTCACCTTGGCAATAAGGCCCTCCCCACTGCCCTTCCCTGCCCTGGGCCTCTTCATTCCTACCCCAGGGCCTTAGCACTGGTTCTGACCACCAAGATTCTCCATCCAGCTC